GAAGTTGTCATACAGATTTTCTATCCGTTGCCCTCCTCTTTCTCCTCTCTCTCCCTATAAAAACCCTTTGTACCCTGGAACTCCCTAAAACGGAACTTTGAAGTCAAAATTCTCTTTCATCTTTGAGGATACTAATCTTGGAATAACACTGTTTTCCTTCACATCAACTATCATCTCCAGAGAACTGGCTTTCAAGTGGCCAGCAACTGAACCTATGTCCAGTAATACCAAGCCTATGCCTTTAATCACAGAGATATTGTGCTGCAGATAGTAAGCATTTCTGAGCTGTGAGGTCATGCTGAACGAGAATACTGACGAAAGATCCCTCAAATGAAGAAAGAATCCATTATTGCTTGATGAAGGCAGCAGTGAGTAGGCCTGAGTACAGATCACACTGCTGCTGTTTGTATTTCTGGTGTATTGCTTATATAAAAGAAACTGAAACATAAAATGGATGCATCAGGAAAGGTTAGAATTTGGGTGAAAATTAAAGTCAGCATTTCACGCATGTCAACAGAGGCAATAGTAATTAAGAACTCAAGCAAGGCATCTGGGTAAAAGATTCAGAGACTCGGACACAAAATATAACCAAGTATTAACAATGACAAGAACAATAGGTAAGGCAATAACTAATGTTTCAGATCTTCAGTTTGGTTCTTTTTCAGTGAGTTGTAACTCTCAAGCTTGTCAGATCAGAAACTGGCAAAGAGAATTGAAGAGAATCTGCTGACTGCAGTGAGAAGAAAGGGAGAAGACAATCATAGACTAATAGAACTGAGACAGAAAGGTAGGCCATGGCTAAAGCTCACGGGAAAGGATGCATGGTGAGATCCCGGAACATATACACAGAACAGTTCTCAGAACCCTGCTTGTGGACTTCATGCAGAAACTTGATCAGGTTTTCCATAGGATGGTCTAGACCTCATTTCAGTATGAGGAGTGGATGATACATAAAGGACAGTCACACTGAGTTTTGGCCACTGTATTCTCTCTTCTGTGAATGACCTGCCCTCATGCTTGTAGGGTGTACTTCTTCCTTTGTTTTGCTTAGTCCAAACTCACGCAACAGAGCCTGATTCATTTCTTACCCTTAATAAAACTTTTTTATTGTCTGGACTTGTCTTGACTATTTCTTTGTTCAAGATACAAAGAACTTAGAAACCGCTTTCAGAACTAGACTCTGGCACCCCAAAATTCAGTAACAGACCCCCATGTGCTTTGTACCATCATTCTTCATGTCTCTCTCACTGTATATTATAGTACTACGTATAACTAACTATAACTATATATGTAGATATGTAGACATATAGTTTCAGCTGCCCAAAGTTCCTCTGGTTGTAAACTTTTGGATATACTCAAGAAATGTATTCCTCTGGTCAAATTTCCTGGTATAACTTGAGCCTGCTTTTATAATATTAAGATTGTTTTATGAAGCTGAAAGTCTAACACAGGATCTAGCTTAGCATAAAGGTAGACTTATTTGATAGATGGGAGTTGATATTTCAAAGAATCCATACAATACATTAGAGCATTCCGAAATCATGTTATTATGTCAACCATAATTATACAAAACATAAAAGTGGAAGGAAAGATGTTCTGATAACTTTAACAAAGTTGTTGAAAAGTCTATGTGGCAGAAGAAATAAAAGTTGTTGCTACATAAACTCTGTGTCAAACAATGTATATCTCCAAAATGTTTCCAAAAATGAAGACTTTGAAGGCCTATAAGGTAAGGAACACATGTGTCAATGGCAAAAACATAGAATTAATTGCAGCAGCTCTCATTTGTTTCCATGAGCATTAGCTTTCTAATTAATATAGCAACTCATCTGGTAATAACAGAACTCCTAATATTATAGGCAGCAAAATTAGGTAGAACTCCATAGGCAGTAAGAGAGTGACAATGCAGAAGATGAGAACTATCAAATCTGTGCTTGGAGACAGATCTCAAGAAGGCAAGGCCTCAAGATAAAGTTATAATGGCCAGATTTGCATAATTCTTCAAAGGATGAGTAGAAACTGGAGATTATACTTTAATCAGTACCATCTAGTCCATTAAATCCAAATATGCACCAGACGCCTGGGTGGGTGACCAGAACACCTGAGCCCATCTCTTCCCCAGAATGTTCCTGTTTTAGGAGTCATAGATAAGCTGAGTTTGATGGTACTAGCCATAAGACATGCCCCACTTCCCTGTTGGATCAATATTAGCTAAGTGGTTATACTTATAATCTTGCAGGTTGGCTGTAGTTTGTCCCATCTTGTACCCACAGAGTAATTTTGCTGTATAAATTACCCATGACAAAGGGCCTCAGTGGCAACCCACTGGGGACCTCTTCTGTCTCTCCTATTCCCCAATGAACTTTTCCTACTGTTAAACTTTGTCCTTTGAATTCATTCTTTAATTTCAGAAGACACAGTCTTGGCATGTCTGACATCTAGCAGGATGGAAGTTATATTTCTCCTGTATCACTAAAATGACAGAAATTTGACTTTCTCAGGGACCCTAATGATCAAAGTCAAACCTATGGGCTCATATATCCTGTGTCTTGCTTTTCTGAACCTTACAGGAATAGTAAAGTTACAATTATGTCATAGGAAGACCTTTTCTTTTTCAGTAAGATGGGTGGGATCATTTCACATAATAATGACCCCTTCTGGAGCCAAATATCACATCAATCACTGCCTTTGAAAATTGATGATTCTTGTTACAGGTCTCCTAAATGGAAGGCACATAATTGCTTCAAAGGTTTTTTTTCACAGTATATAACCTTCAATTTTGGTTCCTTAATGCTTTTATCTTAATAAGGATAAAACATTGTTGATATCCATGGACATTTGAAAAAATAGTGGAAGAGTTAAGTATTAAAGATCACTGTAAAATTAGAGACTTAAACATTAATGGAACTTCAAACAACTTCCCTGATTCCTCAATCATTTATTTTTCTAGAACTAGAAGTTCATTTAATTTTGAGCAACTTAACCTTAAACTAAACATGCTAAAAATAGCCTAGGGGTATCTGACCATCTTGGCTATATGCCTCTCTGCAGAACCAGTGCTCTAATAACTTTTCTCTTAGATACAATTAATTTTCCTTTTATCCTCCTTATGAGTGCTACTTAACTATCGTCCATAGTCTGCCTGAACAGGGAAATACATATCATCCAAATCAATACTTTTATGTGCCCTATAACTTCTCTCAATTATTTTTAACCTTAAGGAACAATTCAAACTCTTTACTAAGAGTATATTCAAAAAAGCGACAAGAATAAAGAAAAGATTTCACAAATGAAAAATGAATAAAAGAGATTGAATCTGGTGAAATAGTACTCTAGCAGGGTCATGGTGACCATCAGCAATTTGAAAGGCTGACTTGAGAAAGAGCGATTATGAGTGTAGAACTAGAGTCTACAAGTAGACAAAGAATGAAAAAGGGGTGCTTTCTAACAAATTTTTAAAATTTAAAGTGGGCTTCTTGAAAAGAAATGTTACAGAGAATAAACTGATAGACTCCTTGGGAAGAAATTATGGACGGATGAGCAGTTAAATTCCATGGCACTGAAGTAGTTTTTCAGCCCTGAAAATCTATTCTTATATATATTTCACTCAAATTCTTTTATTGATTAACTACATATAAATATCCAGAAAGAAACAATCACATTTCTTTGTGCTGTTTACTTTCCTCCTTGACTTACATCTCCAAAGAATAGAATATTAATATTGTAGTCACCTTGACAACAGAGGCATCTGTTTTAATACTTCTCCATAACATTATTCAAAGGCAGTCTATAGTTTAGAAAGTAGGGGAAACAATCTCCATCATTCTCTTTCTTTGCAAACCTCAAAGAGCCTAGGATTAAACACGTACTTCGAAATTAAAATCATTTTTAATTTGCTGAGTAGGAGAACATCAAGTGTATTTATTTCAAAGACTGGTAAGTTTTAACTTCGCATAATATAGAGTAAATGTATTTTTCTTTTCTAATATGCATGAAAGTTTTCAGTAACTTAAAAGACACATTTTACAATTGTCTCTGATTTCAAGCATTCAATGTACATTTATATATAATAAATCATTATGAATCATGGGAAACATATGTATGAAAGTTATTTAATATGGGCAAAATATCAAGAACTATTACATTGGGGAATTAATCAGGCACTAAAGGAACAATTTCCAATAATGCACATAACCTTGATTTAATGACATTTAGGTTATTTCCAGGAACATAATTTCTAAGTGCAATAAATAACTTGGATGTTCTATGTACAGATGCTACATCAAGCCCTTCACTTCAAGGCAGGAGAACCGGGTGTGGCAGATTGGCCGGGGAAGTTGGCATGACCCGTTAATTACAAAATCTGAGGACGCATGCACAGAACAGTTCCAAAATCCCTGCATTTGAACTTCTCAGGAGAAATGAAGCAGGTTTTGGATAAGACAGCGACCAAAGGACAGTCCCCATTGAGCTCTCTACTATTGTATTCCCTCGGAGTAACCCATCTTGCCCTGTAAAGTATATTTACTTTCCTACTTTTACTCAGCCTAAAAACACTCTGCAGACCTTCTTTCGCTACATTTAATAAATGTAAAACCTCGCTATCTTTTGTACTTGGCTTGACCAGTTCTTTGCTCAGGACAGACCTCGAAGAGACTCCAGAACCACCAACCCTGTGACAACACTGATTGCTATGTTTTAATTTTTTGAACACTAAATAGTTGATATGATTCCAATTCTATGAATTAAGAAACTGACACATCAGAAATTTAAGTATCTCATCTAAGGTTATGCAGTTTACAGAGCAAGAAATTCAAATTTGACTGTAGAGCATGAACTCCATTGTTAATGCTGTCTGCCTCCATGATCCTAACATATATTGTTATATCATTTGGGATTAATTTGTGTAGAAAAAGAAAATTTTATTTGTTTTTAGTTCCCAACAATTTCCCTACTATTGAACATTCAGTTTATCATTCAAACGTGGAAATTACACTCACCCCGTTTATGAAGGAGAACACTGGCATGTCGACGTCCATTTCCATTTTCAACATAACAGGAATAATTTCCCAAGTCACCTTCTTCCACAGAGTTCACAATTAATGAGATAGAAACTTCCTTTTCCCCAAGATGTTCCTTAAGAATTCTAAAACATAAAGCAAAACGAAACAAAAACCCCACACAAACATACACATACACACAAAAAAAGAAATGTAGATGAATCTGAATTTGGTGTGGAAATACCTAGGCAATCTACTTTAGATTTGGCCAAGGATTGATGTTATGTTAATTAAATTATATCGTGCCCTTTCCTTCACTTCTAATGAGGAAGCTTATCTTTGTAGATGCTAATGAAGCTGCAGTTAATTATCTCTCATAGCAGGACAATCATACTATCATAACAGAGGTGAGAGAGACCTTGAAGAAAAGTTTACACATTGCTTTTCTTTTAAGAAGAAATATGATGTAAAGTTAGATAACTTCTGAAGTCTTAGGCTGGAGACTTAATTATATATCAGGTTAATTTTTGAAAAAGAAAGGAAGAAGAGAAAATGTCTAAGCTATTTTGACATTTCAGTTGAAACCTCCAGCCTGACTTTTGTTAATGATGCATACCAGTTGTTCATTTTTAAAGAAATATGAAATTATACACCTGCAGACTAAAAGTTATCATAAGTATTTAATTCTGACATTTAAAATTAATGGTAAATGCTTATTAACCTTACTGTCAAGGATTTAGCAATGTCTCAGAGCAATTGGAAAACTTCTCTAAACTAGGACTCACTTTCCCCACTCTGAATGTTCCTACTTCTATCTTCCTATCTGTTTGATAACTCTGCAGAACACTTCTCAATGTAGAATTAAAGAAAAATACTTTTCTAGAACTTTCCTTGAGCTCACATGATACCATATAAGGCAAAAAATTTCAGAGATTTGTGGTCCTTCTTTAATTCTACCAGCTCAAAGAATATGGGTAAAATTTAATAGTAAAATTTAAATATTGAAAAAATAGCAGAAGAATATTTTTACTGTACACTGGGAAACTGTTCATCTGGCCCATTCAGAATTCAACTGGAACACTCTAGAGTGAAATATTCTTGTATATTGCTTGCTACAGAGAAGATTCCAGGAGAAATAATACTATGTCATAGTTTGTATATTTTTGTTGTGTATTAAAAATATTTTACCTTATATCTTTGGTATATTTAAGAGTCTTGACATTTAAAAGGAGAGGTTATGCTTCGTGTGTGTGTGTGTGTGTGTGTGTGTGTGTGTGCGCGCGCGCGCGTGTGTGTGTGTGTGTGTGTGTGTGTGTGTGTGTGTAGTGAAATTTTTAGGCCAGGCATGGTGGTATACACTTGTAATCCCAGCACTTGGGAGGCTGAGGTAGGAGTATCTCTATAAATTCCAGATCAGCCTGGTGAGGTCAAGGCTAGTTTAGACTACATAGCAAAACCATGTCTCAAAATAACCAAAGGAAAAGTAAAAAGGATTTCTGTAAGATGTACTTTAGATAAGAAAATGTTCAAAAATGATCACTGCCCTGATTTGATCATAATTTAGTTATTATGAATATCTTTTCTTATTTACAAATGAGTAAGAATACATATTTATGTTGCAACATAAGTTTATTCATCATTGAATAACCTGATACTTAAAAGTAAGTGAATGAATATGTATGCACACTGGGAGAAAAGTGAGGCTAAATTATTATGCTTTCAATAGTATTTTATATGTTTATTCTCTTGGTATCATTTCAACTATACAAATAGTTGGACAGTGAAAACCATATTTAGAAAGACGGGGAAATGTTTTGTATATACTTTATCAAGTGTTTTACATTCTACTTGGTAGCTTAAATATGCAAAAATATAAAAGGAAATGATAGCAGCTGTATCTGGTTGCATATTCATAGTAACATGTTAATGTTCATCTCAACATTGAAAGAAAAACTTCTACAAATGAAAGTCACTTATTTTTCAAAATTAGAATGGGTTGCCATATTTTATAATATTTTGTTCTCACACTCAATATATTTATCAGGGAAGCACTTCTTTCTACATTTTACTTGAATTCATTGTAAATGACATTCATATTTTGCAGTTCCCCAGTTAGTGTCTCAATGGTTTCTTTGACATTAAAAAGTACATTACTTTTATTATGATAATAGAAAAACCAAAAAGGATCTTTTTTATTTCAACTTTTATTTACTCAAAGAACAATTGTTAACTTGACCATATAAGTTAGAAGAAAAAATATTTTACCTAATATCACTTTCCCAAACTCGATTTTCATCCAGATCTTCAATAAATTTCTCTCCCTTCATCCAGTAAATTAAGGGACTAACATCTCCACTGTACCCAAAGAAAGCTCTGCAGGTTAGATTAGCTGAGTCACCTGTGGAGAGAAATGATTGAGACGTGCTATAACACTGTTTCTACACTCTGACTTTATACAAAAAGGCAACATTCGGGTCATTTTCTTGATGTACTGATAACTCTTTCTAAAAGAATAGTTTTTCAACCTTTGTCACATTTATAGAATGTGTCTTTTTTACAGTATGGCTTATTTAATGGAATGAGAGTTATTTATTTATAAGTTTTGAAAAAAGATCAGTCATTTGTTTTTAGAGAATGTTTTTTCCACAAGGGTTGCCTGATGTTTTGGCGTGGTTAAATTGAAGTTATAAATTACTAGGAAGAATATGATAGAGAGGATATGTCTTTTTCAAGATATGGTATATATATATATATATTGGTACTGGAGATCAGATGCATGACCTTGCCCTTGCCAGGCAGGCACTTATGCCACTTGGCTGAATCCCCAGCTAGGTTATGCAACACTGATAATGATAAGATTTTCATAAGCCAGGTAGAAAATGTTTCACTTTGGGGTGCAGAAAGAAAAAACAATTATTGCCTTGTAAAAAACAGAAACCATAAATTCAATAGACTAAGAAAGTTTTATTAAGGAGTTTTTGCCTTAAGAATAACATTTTAAGAAAATTAACACATACAAATACAAAAAGTGCATTAATAATGAATGAACTATAGATGATAATAAACAGTACTTCCGTCAGAGGTAAAATCAATGACACTACTGTACAGATGAGTTTCTTTCACTATGTGGCTCAGGAGAGATCATAATGGTGAATACTGGTTGGTTGATTACATAATGGAAAGTAGAAGTCCCTCACTAAAAGATGGAAATAATTTAGTGCCTCTAGAAGGTAAAGTTGATTTTAGAACATCTAGTGCCATTTCAAATACAAACATTTGATTTATCCAAACCTTATCCAGTATCACAGAACAGCAACATATCATTATTCACAAGTTTTGTGATCTTTCTGGCTTCAAGTGGAGGCAGAAGTTGGGGAAAGAGACGGGCTCAGGAAAGGCCTACTTTAGTTGAATTGAGGTAAGAGCATGGTCAGGACTGGACACCATATGAGACTAAAAACTAAATTCCAGTCTCTGTCTCTGTCTCTTTGTCTCTCTCTTTCTCTCTCCCTCTCTCTGTCTGTCTCTCTTGTTTCCTTCTTGATCCTAGGGCTTTTTGGCATACAAGACAAATACTCTGAAGCTGAACTACATCCCTAACCTGCAACCTTTCTCAATTACATGTAATAATTACAAGACTATTACTAGGCAGTCCTGACAACTCTATGAGCTTACTGAGCCAGAAGAAATTCCTAAGGTTTGGCAGCTTTAGAGCTGAACTATGGATTGCTAGCAAACATCTCTTGAAACTGTATGCAAGTCATACTACATAAGCATGGAGAGAAGCAAAATACACTTACACGCACTCTTTTAAAGAGCAGGTATGTGTATTTTTAAACTATTTTTACAAGTTCCATAACAAAAACTTTTTTATTGGACAATTTATTCTTATGTTTTAATAATGTTCATTATGTATGAAGAGCTCATGAAGCAACTTGCTCTTTTAATATTTTAAGATGGCATGATGTGTCTTTTTAGCAGTTCACATATGCATGTTTTCCAAAAGATTCCTCATAGGCTTTGGTTCTATATATATAGTCATCTTTGATGACTGGATAAGGCATGTCCAATTCCTTGCCTTATCATCCATATAAGAAACAGTGTCCTTTTGCAGTCACTATGACTCGTCTGGTCTTTGGTCATCCACTTGATCCTGAACCCCAGTACTGAATGTATCTACACTGCTATAAAATAACCTAGCAAAACTACATCCAGACTTAGGTTGGGCTTATTGTAGAAGAGAACAGAATGCATGGGAGGAATAAAAGAGGATGAAAAGCAAGTAAGAATGTACTCCATGAAGAGAAAAAGAGCATTTTCAAATTTGGGATTGGATCATAGAGCATGAAAATAAAAAGATTAAGAATATTATAAAACTCTGAATTAACATAAGAAATAGTCACAAAAAGATTATATTTTTTTTGATAATTTCTTAAAAGAATAAAGCATAAGTGATAATGACAGCAGAATGTTATCTAGTAATTAGTCTGATAATAAGAAACATTTGAAAGCAAGATTAATAGTTGGATAAAGATAAAAATATATTTTATTTATATAAGTTATATGTGGCAGTGAAAAGGGAAAAAGACAGACAAATAGGCAGAGACAGAGACAATTTTCAAGAGCTTTCAGCTGCTTCTCCAGGCAGGACTTAAACTCACTCTGGTCAATGCTGTTCTGTGAAAAGATTGTGTAATGGTTTGTCTTAATTGCATCAATTTGTATGGCTGTGCTCCCATTCAAGTATATAGCTCTGCTTGTAGTTAAATCTCCAGGAGTCCACTAGAGTCATTTGCTCGAAAAGGCCAAGTGATCAGACTTACACCTGAGGTTCTACCCAAGGGCCTAAATGTTGCTGGGAAACTCCGTGTCTACCCAGTACTTTCCATTGGGGAAATAGTAAAGAATTCAGTGGTGGCAAACCTGTGGCATACGTGCTATTTGTATTTTCTTTCAGGACAAAAGATATTAATGCATGAGTTTTTTCTCTGACTAAAACCTCAGTACTCAGGCTTAATTGCAGTATTAGCAACTTGCAATAAATAAGTGGATTCTGGATTATAGTTTGGCACTCATCTCTAAAGGGTGTGCCGTCACACACCTTTTAGATGAAATGTGTCCAAGAGCGTGGTGACGCTGGAGCCCAATTTTGTATTACCTTGTGTTGCAAAGAGGATTAACTATCATCCCCTCCCTATAGGCAGATGAGTACCAGAAGTTGACAGAAATTTAGGGGGCAGAGTAGAGGCCAGCAAGAAATAATACAACAAAGGCAAATAATTATAAAAAGATATAAAATGGCAAATAATAATTAAAGCAAATATATGATTGTTTTTGCATTAGGCTAAGAAAACTGTCTATGCTTGTACATAACACATTTTTAGCATTTGAATTTTGTAAGTGGTATGCTCATGATTCATTTTATAATCTCATATTTTTAACATTACAATCTTATTTTGAATTCTCTTAATTTGCACCTAGTACACATCTCATCCATTAAGTTCCAATTCAAATAACACCTCGCCAATGAAACTGACCTGCCTTTTCAAGAAATACTTGATCATTCTGACCTACCCCCTCCCATATCTCTCAAAACATGCCTGTATTTTAATATAAGTAACCCTTGAAATACTTGTTTTGCTTGCGTGTCTAACTCAGCAAAGAAAGTAATTCCATCTTTTCTCCAAAGAAAGAAACTATACCTTAATCTACATCGATTAAAAGCACGAATACAATGTGTTCAATCAATTAGGGACTCAATAAATAATTTCAAATTAACAATCTGTTTAATATGTTTTGGAACTTGTGCTTTATTTGTTTTTCTTTTTATAAGCTTCATTTATTGAAGTCTTCACACCTGTATGTCTCAATAGGCCAAATCTACTTTATAAATAAACCTTTACATTGGATATGCCAAACTTCCTCACTCAGATGTTATTTTGGTGGTGTGTTGCAGCTGATCTATTTCAGCTTGAAAGAGTAGAGTACTATACTTTTAGAAGTCCTATATGCAGGTTGTTAAGCATAGTTAATTAAACTATGGGCTAGACGTATAGTTCAGTGGCAGAGAGCTTGCGTAGCATACATGAGGCCTTTGTTCCATCTCCAAGACCATATAAAATATATAGGAGCATTATTAAGTAAGCTATATTAAAGTAATAGTTACTCAAATCTCAAAACGTTCTATTTATTTTGCTACATTTTACTCTTACCTATGATTTCCAGATTCACAACTATAATATCTACATGATGAAATTAATATTAAATGATGTACTACTTTAAATATATTTCCTACTATATGTTTAATAACCTTTGGTTGGTAACTTGAAATCAGCCATGTTAGGTGTATTTGTCAAGTGACAAAAATCAGGATAATGATTCATTATTTTGTTGATTGTCTATTGTTAGTAACAGAAAATGTAAATAGTGGGTATTAAGCTAAAAAGAAAATCGTGCCTATAGCCGTTAGATTGGGCATAGTAAAATCACGAGGAAAATATTCTACTATGATATGATTCAGTAAAGAAGTCTTTTACATCATTGATGGCAAGTGACTTTCTAAGTTATAATTTCATTATTTTACTCTTATTATAACATGAAAGAAAATATCTATCACATTCATGGCAGAACTACAGTTGCAGTGCTAATTGTTAAAACATTTACTAGCATAACATTTTCTATAAATTCATTTCTTTAAAATACAAAATGCATATTTGCAAAAGGCTTATTGAGATATAACTCACATAAGACATAAACTTGCTTGTTTAACCTGTACAATTCACTTAAACTGTACAATTCCATAGTTCTCAGTATATTAACAGAATTGTCCAACCAGGACCACAAACAATTGTAGGATACTTTCAACACCCCAAGAAGAGACACTATGTTAATTAACAATTACTCCCCATTTCAGCCCCTAACAGTCTGCTAATCTATTTATCTTTTCCTTCTCCATGAACATCTGGTAAAATGGAAAAATGTAATATGTAACTTTGTGTTTGGTTTCATTTGCTTAATATGTTGAAGATCCATAAGTTCATATAGCATCTATCAATATTTAATTTTTCACTATGCTGAAACAATAATCCATTTTATGGGTATATCACATTTTGCATTTTTATTCATCAATTGATTGACATTTGGGTTGTTACCGTTCTTTGACTTTATAAATACTGCTACTTCAAATGTACCTAGAGACACATATACATGGACATTTTCATTTTTCTTGAGAATACTGCCAAGCAGTAAACTTGTTGAATCATGAGTGAATTTTCTGTTTCAATCATTGAGAAACTAACAAATTGTTTTCTAAAGTGGTGGAGCAACTTTGTATTCCAACCAGCAAGATTTGTGTGCCACTTTCCCTACATGCTTATCAGCACTTACCCTTTAGCTATT